GGAGCATCCGTCGTTCTCTGCGATGTGGCGTCGTCTTCGTTCAACATTTGTCAGAAGTGATCACCTAGCTAAGGACCAAAGAAAGAGTCTGATGCGTTCAGGTCCGTTCCATTTCCAGATTTTAGTCCATTTTTTGTCTTCAGCATCCCAATTAGCTTCTCCTAGTACTCTGTAAGTTGATGATGTAGTAAAATGGCCATTTTTTTGTCCATTTCCAGATTGGTTTGTTTGGTCTGAGTTGTCTGTCTAGAGTGGGTATTGCCATTATCTTTATTGATGTTTGATGATCGATCCAAGGGGTCATAATGGACCAGTTCCACTTGCCGTTACTGTCCACATAGTCAATTTTTTTTTTTTTTTTTGCAAAAAGGTCTGGTGGTATTTCCTTCGTTGCCAGGTCTTTTAGGCGAAGATGAGTATCCACCCATAAGTCGGTCCAGAAGAAGATTTTGTGACCATCTTCCACAATCCACTTGGTTCCTTGCTTAGCTATCTGTGAGACCAGAGATAATTGCTTTCCCAGGGGGGAAATTGTAGCTGCTCTGATGTGTTGCGTGCTATATTTTGCTCTGAAAACTCTGGTCCAGAGAGTGTCTCTCCGTTAAAAGTTCCCAAGCTAGTTTGAGGAGGAAGGCATTGTTCATATCTCGCAGCTTCCTGAGGCCTAAGCCACCGCAACTTTTTGGCTGACAAACCTTGTCCCAATAGACCAGGTTCATTCTCTTTTCCCCTGATGAATTGCCCCATAGGAATGTTCTTCTTATTTTGTCAATTTTGTCGCTAATGCACTTGGGGATTAACTGTGATTGCATCAGGTACAAAGAGATAGATGACATAATTGATTGGCACAGCGTTAACCTGCCCGCCATACTGATTTTCTTCGGATTCCAGTTCCTCGTTCGACTTTTGACTTTGCAAATTAGAGAGCTATAAGTTTCCTTGTTGACTCTTCCGTGTATGATAGGTGCACCGAGACATTTGCCGAGATTGTCAACTAGTTTGATTCCCATGGTAGAGCTTAGGTTGTTTATTGTGCATGTGTCCACATTTGCTGAACAATAGAGTAGTGATTTATCAGCGCTGATTGATTGTCGTGATGCTTGACAAAAAGCCTCTAGCGTCTTCCGAATGATTCTGACTTGGTCTAGTGTTGCCTCTGCAAAAAGGATTAGGTCGTCAACAAAAAACATATGGGATAGGGATACCTGATTTTCGCCAAAAGTGAGTGGTTTCCAACGGTTTTGATGCACTTCCTTGTTTATGGCATGTGATAGCCTTTCCATACATAGGACGAATATGTATGGGGAAAAGGGGTCACCTTGCCTGACTCCCCTTGAGGGTGTAAACTCTTCTCCCAACTGACCATTCCATATCACACGTGTCGTACCAGTTTTTAGAGAACTTAGGATGAATTTCCTGATGCTGTTGGGGAATTTCGCATCCTGTAAAGTGTCGTCTATAAATTCCCAAGAGATGCACTCAAAGGCCTTAATCAGGTCGATTTTTATAGCCATCCAGCCCACTTTATTTGATGTTATTCGCATCGTGTGCATTGCTTCTTGGGCCGTGACAATATTGCTTATGATGCTTCTGCCGGCTATAAAGCTGGATTATGTTTGTGCTACTAGATTCGGCATTGCTTTTTTCAGTCTGTTTGCGACATCTTTGGAGATAATCTTGGCTGATACATTAATGAGACTGATAGGTCGCAAGTTTTGAAATCTTTCCGGTGGAGTGACTTTTGGAATGAGTACGATCATGGCTTTATTTATGGGATCCACTTCTCCTGTTGTGAAATTTTTTTTGACCATTTCGCATACATTTCTCTCCACTGTTTCCCAATTTTTCTTGAAAAAACCAGCTCCAAAGCCATCTAACCCACAGGCCTTGGATGGGTCCATTTCAAAGGTTGCTGATTTGATTTCCTCATCCTGAACATCCTTAGTCAATGATCTCACAATTCTTGATGGGATAGCTGGAAAGTTTCCTCTGATATAGTATTTAGTCCCAGAATTGCCGGGGTCAGTGTAGATCTTTTTAAAAAAGTTGGTAGCTTCAAGATTCAGGATGTTTGGATCTGCGCACCATGTCCCATCTTCGAGCTGAATTTCCATGCACTTTCCTTTCGATCTCCTCAACCTGTGGGCTGCATGGAACGCTTTGGTATTTCTATCTCCTTGTGCTATCCATAGCGAACGGGAGTTCTGAGCATTTAATCTCTTTTCATGGGTTACAGCTGTTTCGTACTCCGCCCTTAGTTCAATCTCCAAAGCTTCGAAGAAATTTGAGTGTTTCAGAGCAATAGCCTTTTGAATTCCTCCAATCCTGGCCCGCAGCCTTCTCTTTCTTTTATAAATATCTCCAAAGATATTGAATTTCCAGTCTCCAATGTTTTGGGTGAGCATAGTGAGGGCTTCAGGAAGGGATCTGTTGCTTTCCCAATTTTTATCCAGCCAGCTCTTCCAGGAATTGTGTTCTTCCCACGCTGTTAAATAATGAAAGAATTGGGTATGCGGCCTAGGCGAGGTATTGTGGCTAAATTGGAGTAAAAAGAGTGAATGGTCCGATGCAATTCTTGGCAGATGATGTACTGTGGTGTTGGCGAACGAGGTTTCCCATTTTCATTCACCAACGCTCTGTCCAAACGTTCGTGGCAAGAGCCTCCCTTTCATGTGAAACGAGAGCCTATGTAACAAAGGTATGTGATAGTGGTTAATTTGTTACACAAAAACATTACCATTTACTCTGAATTTAATGAAAAATGAGGGGCGATTCTTTGAATAAGTCCATATTACTTAACTAGTTTTCATGTTTTTGCATAGGAAGGGACCTGAGTGAAGAAATGCTGAAAAAGGAGGGCTGCTGAGACAAAAACGAGCTGATGAATTCAAATTCTGCTGAGATGGTCAATGACATCTTCTAGACACAATTAATGAGGTTGTCTCTCCTTAAGAACCCAAGGGCATGCTTGTCCCCTTGGCCGACAAACCAACCTCCCAAGCTGATCAATGCCACAGCTGATACCACTTCTGGTAGGAGAGCAAAAGACCAGTCTAAGATACAAGACATTGGGGTGAATAAAGACATAGGCATGGGAGGTGCTCTTGGAAGAGGAACCGGCATCTAGCAGTATAAAAGGGGAGATGCATACACAGAACAAATCATCTCTGGCTACACCTTTCAGTTGCCAAGAACACACAGAAAAACTCCAGAAAGAAGGCAAGAAGGAAGGAAGAACAGCAACAACTCAGTAAGGAAGCCAAGTTGAAGAACAACCATCTCAGTCACTGCTTCAGTCCCCTGAGTGAATCCTGTCACTCCCAGGAGTGACCTCTGAAATGCATAAGTTGTCTTATTCTCTTAAACTGTTAGCTTGTATTTCTTTTCATTGATGCATACTTTGATGATGTCTGTTGAAGTAGTAGTTGTAGCATCAACCAATATGAGTAGCTAAACAGCTTCCAAGGGTTAATCTCCTCAACCTATGTTGTAGTTATTGTAATGCACTGGTTCTGTTCTTTGTTTTGAAGTCGAAATTATTTCTACATTCAGTTACTTGATCTCTAATTGAATGCATGCTAGAACTAGGGGAAATCTGGAAAGATAAAACTTCGTTCGGATTGTTTCAACTTCAACTTGTTACATATAGGTAACAATCTATGGTTTTAGCTAAGATAAGAATATACTTAGTTAACATGAGCATTCGTATAAGCCATAGCTCTTAATGACTTTATAACTGGACTCAATCGTTGGAAAATAGATTGTTAAAGTTACAAAGATGACTCTAGGAAAAATGAGAACTGACTTAGAGTTAATTTTGAGCTGAATGAACAAGAACTTAACCATTTAAGTGCAATTTACAACTGCTGCAACAGGAAGAGGAGATGAACACCCCTGGACCGTACTCCCCTGAGTGAACGTTTCCATTCCCCTGAGTGACCCTTGCTTGAACTGGTAGTCTTTTAACAACAAATTTGGTAATTTAGTTGTCCCTGTGGGAACGACCTAGCTTCCATTATCTACAAATCCATAATCTAGCTAGTATTATTTTTGGTGAACTCGACACCCACCAGTCTGTCATTTCTGAATCGTTGATCCATTGTATAAATCTCTTGCATCCCTTAGATGGTCTTCCTCCAATTTAATTTGCCTCATGAGTGATTGCATTGAAGTCTCCTAAAACCAGCCAGGGCTCCGTGATTGTACCTGCAATTCTATCAAGATTCTCCCATAACGCACGCTTGGTTAGTCCCTGGCGACTACCATACACTGCGGTTACGTAGGAATAGGAAAAGTTTGGAAAAAGGACTTTGCAGTGAATATACTGCCAGTTATTTTTGAGGATCGTCACCTAGAATGAATCTCTCCATAGGAGCCATATGCCTCCCAAGAAACCAACAGCTTCAATCCTGTGTGAATTGTTAAATCCTGTACTTTTGATGATATTTTCTACTGTCTTTCCACTAGTTTTTGGTTCTAAGGGCCTGTTTGGTTCATAGGAAAGGAAAGTATTTGAGGAATATGATTGCTTGGAATTTAATGACAAGGATAGTAAAGTAAAATAAAATACTTTCTTTTGTTTGGGTGTTAAAAAGAATATTGCCAGGAATATAATAGACATTCCCAATGTAGTGTTTGGATAGTATATGAATTTTTCGGAATGTAATATCTAACCTATTAATTTGTCAAATTTACCCTTTCTTTATTATGGAAAGAATTTTTTTTTTTCACTTGTCACCCTCCCTCATATGTATTAGTTATTTTCTTCATATATAAACGTCAAAACTTTCAAAAAATAAAAAATAAAAAATTTTATAACATTATTATTCTTATTATTAAACAAACATAATTATTCAATCATTTCAAAAACAAAAAAAATCTTAACATAATTATTCAATCATTCAACCATTGTTTCTTAAGTAGAACAAGAAATGAATTTTCTAATGATAAATTCAAATGAAAAAATAAAAACAATTGAAATCAACTTAACTCCTGACTCATTAAACCAGAAGTTCAACTAGAAAAATATCCTTCTCATCAACGCCAAGATTAAAAAAGTTGTCCAACAAATTTGGATCATGAACAAGTTTCATAGCAGCTCGTTGTTTCTCTACTGCTGTCAGCACATCCACTTTTTGTAGCTCTTCATTTAGTTTGTGACGATTGCCCACATTCTGATTACCTCCTCCGGCAAAATTTTCTACCACTTTAAGCATTTGCTCATCAGATTTTTGCATTTGAGTTGTGAGGGCATTAGTCAAATGCTCTAAACTCAAAATTAAACCATCTACACTTCTTCTTCTCTTACGTTCTGGATTTTTGGAAGTTTCGTCACCTCCAGGATTGGCTGCCAATGTATTAGGGTCATCGTTACTGTCAGATTCCTCACCATCTTCTTGATCAATATCTTCCTCTCTAACTATTTCTTCAACCATATCTGCAGGAGCTTCTGCATTATTCCCATTAGCTCTATCCTGACCCCATATAATTTCCAATTCATCATAATAAACAAAAGACTTATTTCTCATGAATGTGCATTCAGGATTAGCCTGGTAGAGGAAAAATTTCTGTTAGAATACAACATAAAAAAATCATACTTCTTAATTTTAAAGACCATAAAATAAAAATACACAATTAATGCTTACCCGCAAATAGTCATCCCATACATCTGCACTTGCTGTCGCACATTTTTTTTGGTCATCCCAACCAAAACCACTTAGTTGTCCATTATTTCGGACTTCGTAAATCATATAATATTATTTCTTTATTGTCTTGCAACAAGATTCAATATGTGGCTTCTCTTTCAAACCATGTTCAGGTAGTTTCTCTTGTAACATCCTCTCTAGTTCTTTCTGATATCCCTTTCTTAGCCCATTTCTATTTTCACCATTATATCTCCCACCTCACTTTAACTCAAGCATACATACAATGAGTTTCGCATCCTCTTCAGCAGTCCACACATGGTTGGTACCTTTGCCTCGTCGAGACATATCTATCAATAGCAAAAAAAGTAAGAATGAATGTTAAGAAAAATCACTCACAAAAAAATAAATACTTGAATAAAATATAAAATTAATGGAGAAATATTGTATAAATCATAAATGTGAAAAATAAAACTTAAAATTACTTTTCTGGCCATGAAAACATCATAATGCATACATAAAAAAATGTGTTTTGACAATTTATTCTTACTAATTTTATAACAACTGGGAAAAAAGGTATTAAGAAATAAATACGACTTCTAGCAATTATTTATGTTTTGCCTCCATTGATTAAACATTTGATTGGCTAAATTTTGCCTCCAATTTGTCCATTCTTCTGTTGGTTCAACTGTCGAGATCACATCACCATCAAATTCAAACTCTTCTTGACCATTAAACTCAAACTCATCACCTTCAAAAGGATCAATCGGTGTATTTAATCTTTCATGATTTTGAAGAAGACAACATGCCATGATAATTCTACCCTGAGTCTTAATTGGATAAAAATTTGGGTGTCTAATAATCTCCCAACGCATTTTAAGCATTCTAAAACATCTCTCAATAACATTCCTAGCTGATGAATGCTTCATATTGAAAAACTCCTCTGGAGTATTTGGTTGACGTCCCGTTCTCCACTCACACAGATAATATCTTTGGCCTCTAAATGGGGCAAGAAATCCCTTGCCATTAGTATATCCAGCCTCTAAATGGAAATTAATTTTAATAGTGTAAAAGTATATTAAAATAATTAAATAACTTTATGATTAGTGTAAAAGTATATTAAAATGATAGTGTAAAAGTATATTAAAATAATTAAAGAAACCTATCAAATCACTTCTACTTACCATCATATATTGGTGATCCATTTCTTCTACTTAAAGCATCTCTTAAAACCTTACCTTCAGCAGCTGAACCTTCCCAACCGGGAAGAACGTAAATAAATTGCAAGTTTTGAGAACATACTCCTAAAACGTTTGTAGCGATATCACCCTTCCTGTTACGGTATCGATGTTTATCAATTTCAGCTACCTTGACTTCGACATAAGTACCATCAATAGCTCCTATACAATTTTGAAAAATCAACCATAATTAATTTTTTAATAATAATATTTTAGTAGTAATAAATAATTAAATAATTACAAATTCAAATTTACCTTAAACCATTTCTACTTGTCATCAGTGCAATCTTCAGGCACAGGCGTAGGAGTTGCTAACAATTGACTCTGTAGTCTAATCACCGCTTTTAAAACTTTTTTGAAAATTCTACTAATAGTTTCACCGGATCGCTGAAAATTCAATCCTATAGTACGATTTTTCTGGTCCCGTGCGAGTATGTGCAAGAACATAGCTACTTGTTCATCTACAGATGTATTTCTAGTATCTCGAAGTCCTCCAGTTATACGAAGCATCATAACTAATTTTCTAAAGGTAAACCTATCCATACGTGTTGCATTATGACACCTTATATCACTAGAATGTATTACCCTGTGGATATAACGTGACCTATCGTACTTATCAACCAAATAAGGAGCTTTTAAATAGTATTTTCGATAATGGCGTGTGACAATGATATATACCACATTTAGCATGATCCTTAATATGTTCATCCGTTGTCGTTAAGATAGAGATATTTTCTCACGGCAGTTAAATCCAGCCTATCCATCTGAATGAATCACCTATTACGAAAATACTAACAATATTAAAAAAGGCACAAAAAATGAACGTAAGATTTAAAAAACAATGCCTAACCTGACTAGAAAATTATATTACCAAATTCAAAATTAGTGCCTAACATGTGCGTGTATGTGAAACACCACATTTTGTACTTATTTTAAAGTCTTTAGGGATTAAACTAGACTCTTTAGCTAAGTTATCAGGAAACAAGATTTAAATTCACTTATATGGATAATAGTAGAAAAACCACTGCCTCAATTTCCTAGTTGCTTTATAAAGCTTGAACTTCCGTAGCCCGACTTCACCCTCCTCTCTTAAAAACCAGGTCCGTATTATCAACATCACTTAAAAGTTAGAATTGAACTTCCATTAACTCTATTTTATAGTTTTTTGGTTGACTTAATTTAAAATAAAAAAATCCAGATACTAATTTGACTTAATTTAATTGAAGCTGGTGCCTGAGATGAATCCTCGAAATAGATAAATTAGGTTTGAGTTTTAGCGACAGTCTGAATATGAGAAACATATAATGAACATGTTGAGTCTTCTAATGAAGTGTTAGCTAAAGGAGTACTAGTCTACCAGATAATTGCCAGGGACATGATGGTGAAGAGATGGACAAATTGAAGGGTAAAGAACATCAAAAGGGTCCGGCAAAAATATTGGGAAGCCCTCAAATAGTAAAAATGCCTCAGTTACGAGTCTTAGGAAGAATAAAGAGGGTATGGTCGAATCGAATGAATGCTTTTGAATCGAACCACTACTGGTGCACAATGCTAGGCTGATCAAATAGAAGGACAAATCAAAGCCAAAGGTGCTGAAAGTAAGTAATAGATAGAGCTGAAGACACACAACCCTTGAGTCCCACTAAAGAAGTTGCAAAGCCCAGCAAAATGGAGACCCTCCAAACTATGATTTTAGTTTCAGTGGGATAAACGGGTTGAGTAAAAAAGAGTTTTATTCAAAAAGTACTAGAGGAAAAGATCCGTGCAAAGGAAATTCAGAAACTGAAATCAAAATGTAGCAGAAGGCTTGATGAAGGCAAATCCTAAGGCTGAACTGAAGAAAATACTAACATTTACGGCGAAATCTCCGTAACTTTGTCGAAATAAAGCTCTCTGGTAGGAGAAAGTAAAGAAGAGAGACACGTTTGGGTAAGAAATTACCGCAAAACTGGCATGTCCAAGGAAACAAGGGATAGGTTCTTTGATGACAATGCAAAAAAATAAATCAACAAATAATAGTGGAAAGAATGAACATGAGAAGAACATCCGCCATGTATTTAAAATTGCAGCCACAATATATATATATATATATATATATATATATAGTTGCAATAAGTTATCATGCCATGATTCCAAAGAATTTAGAACCAATCACATAGATGGAAAGAGATACAATACGTTGTCTCATATATATCAAATAAACAATCAAAATTCAATGCCAATCATGTACCGTTAACGGGAGGAAAAACATAAAAATAAATAAAAAAAAGTAAGAGCAATAGCAATAGCAAGATGAAGAATAAAACAAAATCTTGAACTAACCTCACGAAGAGGTTTCAAAAGAACAAAGAATCACCACCAAAGCTTCCTTACTGTAACAATCACAAAAAAACGTAGCTACTCAATATTTTACTAATAAAAAGAAAACATAGTAATTAAAGCATATGAAAGGGAGAACTTCGAAATTTACCGGAGACAAATGAATAGAGCGTCAAACAGCTGGGGGGGGGGAATTGATTAGAAGAAAAGAAAAAAAGAAGAAGAAGAAGAGAGAAGCGAGTAGGAAGTAGAGAAGCGATGGGAGTTCTGAGCGATGGAGCAAATAAATAAAAAGGGTAAGATTCGGATGAAACAAAATCGCGTTTTTTTTTATTAATTTCCGTCGGAAAGGAAACAAAATAACAAATTGAGATACGGATTATATTTCTCAGAAAATCACAACTATTTCCAAAAATCGGGAGTTAGATTCTTTTTCAAACGTGTTAAAAAAAGGTTCCAAACACTATAATTTCCAGATTTCCAGAATTGTGTTACTTTTCCCCAAATAATCCGGGAACCAAACAGGGCCTAAAAGTATTATCATGTGAATATTCTAGATTCTGATTAAGTCTTTTAAAAGAGGTAGTTTTTTCGTTTGCTAACCCCTGCGTGTTCCATGATATAATTTTATATTCATAATTAACAATCAGGGATGGGGAGCTTACCTACCAGCGTCTCGCAGGAGCTCGTCATCGGAGACAGGGGATTGATTGGAAGTCGTTGCATTGTTATGCATTTCCTCACTTTGACTCTGATGGAGCAATTAGGTCATTGCCTCATTGGGCCATAATTAAATTGGCCCAAGTATTAAATAATATTCGCTAAGATCCATGTGCATCCGTGTACAGAATATTCCCTTTTTGGGTCTATAAAAGGAAGCATCCCAAGGCATTTATTTATCATGTTATTCTCTCTTTATATAATATTTAATAGTCTCTCTTTCTCTCTCTAAGAGTTCTGACTTTGACATTGGAGTGCTAACCCTATTTTGCAAGGCATTTTGGGAATTATTAGCACTCACTCATGAACCGACTGTAGAACGCACCAACAGATTCCTTAAAAAATTTGGGAGTCCTTTTAAGAGCAATATTGTCCCTGTCAAAATATGCATACATGGCGTGGTATACATATGACACATTATATCCCACGTTGATCTGCTCATTGATGGCGGCTTCACATTCATCGGAGTATCTCTGAGCAAGCAAAACGCTGGGGGCAATGGGTACCAAAAAGTCATCCCTTTCAACCTCTTCCAATGAAAAAAGAAATACAGAAAAAGAAACAAAATAACATACAGAAAAAAATAAAATTAAAGTTGATAATTCAAACTTAAAAAGGAAAAATAATTTTTATAAGAGAATATTTAAATGAAAATAAATAAATAAATTGAGAAATATTATATGGTACATAATAACCAAAATAAAAAACAACATACAAAAAAAAAACGTAAACAATTGTTTTGAAATTTTTTATACCATAAATTGTAGTTTTGTTTTTTTTTTGAAAAAAAACTAAACTAGTGGGGCTATTTTCCAATAAGTTTGAGGGGTT